GAGGACTGGCTGGATGGAGCAAGCAGCGACTGCGCGTGATACGGGGGTCAGGCCCACGGCGCGCAGGTGTTCGCTGAAGTCCAAACGGTTGGTCATAGGTGCCTGCTGGAGCAAGGTGCTTCCGGACTTCGAACCCAAAGAGGATCCGGTAGAAGTCGAGCGGGATGAAGCTGACTTGATCGAAGCCTGGGAGCAAGGTATTACGCTTCCTGGCACTCCTCAGCTATTCATCGCGGCTGGACATACGTACTCCCAGCTATTCGCCGAGGAGGAGATCAAAAAGAAGGTCGTCAAGACCACTGAGGAGTCGGTGCCCAAACAGTACCACGAGTTTCTGAAGGTCTTCTCCAAAGAAGCATCAGAATGGCTACCCGAAAGGAAGCCTTATGATCACGCAATCGAGCTTGTGCCCGGCTATTCGATGTTCCACTTGAAGGTGTATCCCTTGTCAAACAACGAGCAGGAGAAACTCGACAAGTTCCTAAAGGAGCAGCTGGCGAAGGGTTACATACAGGAGTCGAAGTCGCCCATTTCGTCCCCTTTCTTCTTCATCAAAAAGAAGGAAGGGACGCTTCGATCCGTGCAGGACTACTGCCAGCTGAACACGATGATAGGCACCAAGCCCCCTCTGGGCCCCGATTCACCTCTTTTCGGCAGTCACATCCCGCCCGGCACTTCGACTCAGTCTCCCACCACTTCGATTTTGCCTTCGACGCTCTTTGACACCTTCGACGGTGCGCGACGCTTACTCGAAGCTCGGCACGATCGTCCCGATGCCTCGCGCATAGATCCCGGGACATCTTCCGCATTCAGCGAACAATAGGGCCACTTGACGCCGCTCGGCCAAGCGCGCGCTTCGTTCCAAGCCACACCGAAGTAGCCAGTCTTTCCCGATTAGGTATTGAACCTCACGGCATGCCTTCACGACGGCTACCGGTCCGAAGTGGCCATATGTTGCTCTTCATCTCCGCGTTCGGCATGTCGTCACTCTACCGATGGACTTGGTGTGTGCCCCTCGGTGAGGCAGCTTCTTGAGGAACAATGCAAAGCCCCTTGTACCAGTGTGCCACTCTCGAATAGTCGTAGCGTCCTGTGTAGTATAAAATCTGTCGTAGTTCTCCCCAAAAATACAAGATCCGGTCCCCCCCCCTCGAGTTCAGAGCTCATAAGTCGAGTTCGCCCTGCGTCTACGTCCTCAACTGCGTCACTTCGTTCCTCACTGCGTAACCTCGAAACCTCGTCCACTGCGTTCACTCGTCGATACCGTCTCGACGAACCTTTCGACTTCGACTATTGTCGAAGAACTGCGTTGCACCTCGAACTGCGTCCTAGTTAAGTCCCCCCTATCAAATCATGTCCCTTCTCTCTACGATACGTCGAAGAGCTCTGCCGAGCTTCAATCGTCTCCACTAACCACTCCCAGCCTCCGAGTAGCTTCGACGACGTGTCGAAGCCACCTCGTACCTTCCCTAGCATTCGTAGCCTTTTCCGAAGGCGTTTCTCGTGTTCACTCGAACCGCGGGACACCTTGCTGCTAACTCCCCTCTCATTAGACTATAATCCGTCTCTCTAGTCCCTTTAGGTCGCACCCAGGTTAGGGGTTAGGGTTTCGTAGGTCGTATCATTTCTGGAGCCCACCGCGAGGGGATTTCAGGCAAGAATTCGCCGCTTTCGGGTTTCCGAAAATGTCTCCAGTAGTCACCCGCTCGCAAGCGCGTGAGGCTGCTAGCCGCAGCGCCGCTGAGAACCTCGACAGCTCCTCTAGAACGCAATCGACTCCCTCTCCAACAATCCCCGGTGACTTCAACCGCGACAAAGAAGACGAGATAGACCAAGAACTCCAGGACAACTTCGACGAAGAACCAATCCCTTCGACCGCCGAAGAACACACTTCGTCCCCCGAGCTTCTAGGCCTCACTACTTCCGACTACGACATTTTGACTCCTGATCTTTTCGAACGATCCAGTTCTTCGCCCGAACCCGAGGATCCCATCCCAGCTACTTCGAATCTTGTACTTCCGACTCCGTCTTCTTTTCGCGCCCACGCTCAGCCGCCCATCGCATCCTCTTCGCGACTTTCAGTCATACCTTCATCCGACCTGGCACCTCCGCCACTATTAGCACCTTCGAACGCAGCTTCGAACTCCAACCCCGCACCGCCCGCACCTACGATTCCTTCCACTACTACCTCGTCCTCTTCGAGCCCAGCTCCTATCAACACTACGAACATGAGCCAGAACACGAACACACCATTGATGCCCCCGCGCGGTCATTCGACGGCACCAAGCTTCGACCCGTCGGAAGTCCGTTCACTTCGGCGTTACTTCCAGGACCTCAAAGCGTTGTTCACCCGGTGTCAGATTACCGACAAAGCAGCCAAGAAACAGTGGGCCATTTGGTACCCTTCGATCGACGTCGCCGACTTGTGGGAAACCATCGAGTCCTTCATCGACGTAGCCAAGAGCTACAACGACTGGAAAGCCGACGTACAAGCACTCTATCCTGGCGCCGATGATACAAGAAAGTGGTCGCTGGCGGACATGGACCAGCTCATCGGAGAACGCGCTCGTATCGGGATTCACAACGTGGCAGACCTAGGCTGCTATTACCGCAACTTCATGGCCATTACGAAACATCTCATCGCACAGCACCGGCTCTCTACTATCGAGCAAAGTCGCGCATTTCTTCGAGGATTCCAGCCAGCATTGCTCACACGGCTCGAGACCCGACTGCATCTCAAGCATCCCGATCACTACGCCGACGACCCGTACACCATGGCAGAGATTCACGTGGTGGCTACGTTCATCTTACACGGTACAT